CCCTACTCATGATAAGGAAATTATCATGATTGATATAGATAGTAAAAATAAAAAAATAGAAGAGAGATTTGTCTGCGTTGATTGCATTAGTGATCATCCCAATTGTTAATATAGAACCATTGAGAAAATTAATTAGCAATGGAATCATACAAAGAAACAGTAGGATAGAGTACTGTCTGAGCTAAAGACTAAAAGGCAAGAAAAATAGGAAAAATTAAACTAATAGATTGCAATAATGAGAAAAAATTACAACTAATAACTTAATGAAATCAGTGAAAAATTAATAACAGAATTTTCTCTACCACCCACAAGCAAGCCCATTGAGATTAATAAAATTAAATAAACCTCTCTACAACAATTAAGTAATGAGGAATTACTTTCAAATATTAATTAAATTCTTTAAAATGATAAAGAAAATATGGTATAAGATTCAAAGATTGAGTATTTGAAATCCAAAGACAGTGTATTTTAAAAAGAGATCTAAAGCAGATTAGAGCATTTAAAATAACATGAGTAATTAGATATTTAAGAATCTATTAATATTTTACAGGAAATATAAAGTATTCAAACAATTTTATTTTTAGACGACAACCAAATCCAAGGAATTGTGTAATTATAATAATAAATTTAAGAGAGTACAAAAAAAAATTAAGTATAATTAATCTACAAAGAAGATTTAGATGAACTCATAAATTCTTCAAAATATATATATTGTTAAAAGAGTTTACTAAATGAAACAATTCAGAAATTTTAAGAACATCTTGCAAAAATAAAAACGTTTGAGAGTAAAATGCAATAAAGTCTAGATAATTTAGTTTTTACAAGCATATAAAAGTAAACCAATGAATATAAGAATAAATTTGAAAAAGACTTTAATTAGTTAATGAAGTTTTGTGAAATCGAAAAACTTGAGAAAAATTTTGAAACACTATAATAGCACTATGAAAAATCATAAATAGAGAGTATGAACAATTTTCGATAAATTAGGAAACCAATATTTGGAATCAATTGAGAAGGATTATAAATTGAAAATCTAGAAGTAGAATAACATTATCGAGGAGCTTGAAAACATTTTAAAAAACACTGAAGATAAACTGAAAAATAAAGTAGAAGAAGAGAACTTGTTAAATGAAAGGTTGAAAGAGGAAAATTCTAAGAATGAGAAATTTTAATAAAAATTAAATGACTAATAGATTAAGCATGATAAAGAAATTAAATCACTGAACGAGTAAATAAATAAAATTCGAACCGAATTAAATTCTAGACTTTAATTTAAAGTTTTAGATATAAAACCAAAAATATTAACAGATGACTATTGGATAAAATTATTTTTTATTTTATAAGAAAAATCAAAAAAAACAATAAAAGAATTTCAATTAATATTTTAAGGAACCAGAGATGGGTTGAATAATAATTCATTTTGGAATAAATGTAATGGTAAATGTAATCTACTCATGATATTTTAATCTTAAAGTGGGTATATCTTTGGTGGATATTCTCCATGTCGATGGTAGAATAACACCAGTTATGTTTAAGATGATACATTATCATCATTCATATTCTCATAAACACATGATTCAATATACCCTTTGATCTTAGATAAAAAAAAATATGCTATTTATTGTAATTCAGGATATGGACCTTGTTTTGGAGACGGTCATGATATATGTATAAATTCGGATTTTAAAGATGGTTATTCTAATATCGGTAATTCATACAAATTGGATAAATATGATAATAAGAAGTCTACTCATATATTTGGATAAGAAAAATCAAATATTACCGAATGTGAAATATTTGAAATAAAATTTATTTGAAATCCAAAGTTTATTAAAATTGTCTTGGTCTTAATAACTTAAAAAGATTAATATTATATCGAATCTATAAAATATTTATATTTAGATTTAAGTTGCCGTAATTACGATTTGAAGTATCAATCAGTAATTCCAAAATCATTGTAAAAGTAATATAGAAAATCCAAAAATAGGTAAGCAAAAAACTGTGGAAATCTCTAATATATTTAAACATTCAATATTTCCTTTTAATACAGTAGATTTTTCTTAAATTAATTGAAGAATATATATAATGTTCTTATTTCTGAATGGTAAAAGCTATTAGTAAAATAAATTATTTTGTTGTTTTAAGCTTAATTCTTAATTAAACCTGAGTATGTATAAGATTTTCAAATCTACTTTTCAAATGAATTATCATTAAAATATAATATTTTATAAGTCAAACAGAAGGAAAAGATAATTAATAAAAATGATTAATATTTATTTCTAATAAAATCTTTTTCAAATTTGAAGTTTTGATTTGATCGATAATAATAATTTTTTTATTATAATTTTGGTTAATATAATTCATATTATTCTCAAATATTAATTCGACCTGACAAACTTGATTTAAATACAATTTAGGCTTATTACATACTTAATAAGGTAATGATGGGGAGTATTTGAATTAGTTTAATATCTGACTTTATGGGTATAACATATAATAATTGTAGCTTCAGCTTAACCATTGACTTTTCTTTCTAATGAGAGTTTATAAATTTTCTAGACAGCATTTGAAAGAAATATAGACCAATTATGCTTTTCTGAGCAATCGTAATGATAGTAAGAGGCTCGCATAAGTGCTTTAGCTTAATGCTTATCATAGAATATAATCGAGATATTTGGCAGATAAGAGATGAATAGAGTTGATAGAAAATGATTTACAAGATGACGTTTTTCAGGATTTGTAAAGCTGTTTATATTTATGGAATAGGTTCTACATTTATATTTTTAAAAGGCAAGAGTAAAAATAATATTCCTGTTTTGACTTAGAAAATAATTGTCTGAGTAAAGAGAAACTCTGTAAAACAATTAAGCAGATTGAATTTTATTGGAAAAGTATTAAATCATTCCATTCCAAATTTATGTTTTAAACATGAAAAAGCCAAAATAATAACTATTTATTCAAAAACTAATATAGGATACTGATTCTTAGAAGATGGTTGAACTAAGAAGCCTGCTCTATCTAGGGATGCTGATTGAATAAGTTTACTAAATTGGATGATATATTAGATTATAATTATGTCATGTAATAGGAATAAGAAGGTAATACTGATTTTTCTTTTTAAATATCCTACCAAAACTAAATGATTTGACATATTTTATTGAAATTAATTTCAAATCACAGCCTATTCTATTTTATATTTAATTGAATCTGATAATCATAATTAATAATTCAGAACACAGTTAAAATAATAAGGTTTCTTAAATTAAATATTGTATTAATATTAAAGGGAATAAATAACCTTCTTAAAGGTAAATCCATTAAATCATATTTAAATTTTAGTCAAATGATATAATTTATACCTTGCTAATTTAAATAATAGTAAGTCAAGTAATAGCAGTCTTTAAAGATTGCTTTGAAAACATAGAGTTTGTGATAATATATCTCAAAATAATATAATTACTTGATATGATTTAGCTATCTTATCAGATATCATAATGTGTTTTTTATTAATACAGCATTCTCAAATAATTGTATAAATGTTCATAAATTTAATTAATAGAATTCTAAATTAATCTGTTTAAACGGAAAATAGTAAATTAATTACAAAATAATAAATATAATTACTCCCTAATGCAAACTGAAATTCAAAAAATAATATGCCAAAATCATTAACGTGATATAATAGCCATGAATCTTGACAGTTTACAAATTGGCTAAATTTAATATTTATGTTGTAAATGCTTAGTTGAAAAAATGAATGATGATAAAATATAAGCAATTGAAGAAATAATAGATAGAATATCATCTCTAAAAACCTAAAAAAAGTAAAATAAGATTTAAGAGACTTAAATAAGATTAGATTACTTCAAGAACATACTTTATTAAATAATGGAGTTAAAACGAAACGTAATGTTGAGGCTACATTCGATAAGATCCATTTTCAAATACAAGCTCAAATTTGTACTATTCAACAGGAGCACTAATCTTTTTTAGAGTAATTCAAAGTCGAACAAACTTTATAAAAGGATATTTCATCTTTGGCTGAATTTTTTTAAATAGATATTAGGGAAAAGCAATTAAAATTTTAGCAGGATATCCATTTAATTGAAGAAATTGAGGAGTAATTTGAGCTCTTTCTGAATAATTAAGAATATTTCTAAGCTCTAGTAACTTTTAAAGTGGCTAAATAAAAAATAAACGAAGTAATAGAAAATGTTAAAGTTGGATTAATGCCACACAAAGATATGCTATTGTAAAATATAAACTAGAAAGAGAAAAAAAATAACACTACCATATAATAGTAAAAATTAAATGAAAACACCTTCGATAATATATAAATTTAGTAAAATGTAAAAATTGCCTAAAATGATCTACTAATAAATAAAATTATAAAGGAATTAGAACTTAAAAGACAATTCATTGATCCGATTTTGTAGTTAAAACCAACTTTACTTCGAGATGATTACTGGCATAAATTATTTTATATTTTATAGGCAAAAATGAATAGAAATATCAGAAATTCAATTTTAATCTATTAAGGATCAAAAGATGGATTAAATGCAAAATAATATTGGTATAAAGTTAATGGAAGATCAAATTTGCTTATGATATTTTAATCCAAAAGTAATTATATCTTTGGAACATATTCTCCTTGTACATGGGAATCAAAAAATGGAGTATGGGTAGAGGATAATACATTATCATCTTTTATATTTTCATAAACCCATGATCAAGTTTATCCTCTAAAGTAGGATAAGAAGTAACAAGCTATAGGTTTAAATTCAAGCTATGGACCTCTAATTGGTGGTGGGGATGATCTTTTCATAGATGGAGATTTTACTTAAGGATATTCTAGATTAGGTGGTTCATATTAATTTTAGTATTATTAGTAAGGTAATAACGAACCTTATTTATATGGATAAATATAACCAGAAATTAAAGAATGTGAAATATATCAGTTATTGTTTTGATTAATATTTANGTTGACATTTTCAAAAGGAAAGAGTAAAAATAATATTCCTGTTATGACTTAGAAAATAAATTTTGTGAGCAAAGAGAAACTCTGTAAAACAATTAAGCAAGTTGAATTTTATTGGAAAAGTATTAAATCATTCCATTCCAAACTATGTTTTCAACAGGAAAAAGCCAAAATAATAACTATGTATTGTAAAGCTAATATCGGATACTGATTCTTAGGAGATGGATGAACTTAGAAGCCTGCTCTATCTAGGGATGCTGATTGATAAATCTACTGTTCATCCAATCGGATGATATATTAGATTATAATTATGTCATGTAATAGGACTAAGAAGGTAATAATGAATTTTTTTTTCAAAATCCTACCAAAACTTAATGATTTGACATATTTTATTGAAATTAATTCCAAATCACAGCTTATTCTATTTTATATTTAATTGAATCTGATGATCTTAATTAATAATTCAGAACACAGTTAAAATAATAAGGTTTCTTAAATTGAATATTGTATTTTAAACAGAACAAAGTTTTATCAATAATTTTTTTTGCTTAATAAGATTAAAGCGAATAAATAAGCTTCTTAAAGGTAAATCATTAAATCAAAATTAAATTTTCGACAAATGATATAATTTATACCTTGCTAATTTAACTATTAATAAGTCAAGTAATAGCAGTCTTTTAAAGACTGCTTTGAAAACATAGAATTTGTGATAATATATCTCAAACTAATATAATTACTTGATATGATTTATATATCTTATCAGATATCTTAATGTATTTGTTTATTAATACAGCATTTTAAAATAAATTGTATACATGTTCATAAATTTAGTTAATAGAATTCTAAATTAATCCTGTTAAAGGAAAAATCGTAAATTAATTACAAAATAATAAATATCATAACTCCCTAATGCAAACTGAAATTCAAAAAATAATATGCCAAATTCATTAACATGATATAATAGCTGTGAATCTTGACAATTTACAAATTAGCTAAATTTAATACTTGTGTTGTAATTGCTTAGTTGAAAAAATGAATGATGATAAATACAAACAATTGAAGAAATAATAGCTCTAAAAACTTAAAAAAAGTAAAATAAGATTTAAGAGGCTTAAATAAGGTTAGATTACTTCAAGAACATACTTTATTAAATAATGGAGTTCAAACGTAATGTTGAGGCTACATTCAATAAGATCCATTTTCAAATACAAGCTCAAATTTGTACTATTCAAGAGGAGCACTAATCTTTTTTAGAGTAATTCGAAGTCGAACAAACTTTATAAAAGGATGTTTCATCTTTGGCTGAATTTTTTTAAATAGATATTAGGGAAAAGCAATTAAAATTTTAGCAGGATAATCATTTAATTGAATAAATTGAGGAGTAATTTGAGCTTTTTTGAATAATTAAGAATATTTCTAAGATATAGTAACTTTTAATGTTGCTAATAAAAAATTAACGAAGTAATAGAAAATGTTTAAGTTGGATTAATGCCACCCAAGGATATGCTATTGTAAAATATAAATTAGAAAGGGAAAAAAATAACACTACGATAAAATAGTAAAATTAAATGAAAACACCTTGGATAATCTATAAATTTAGTAAAATGTAAGAATTGCCTAATGATTTACTAATGAATAAAATTATAAAGGAATTAGAACTTAAAAGACAATTCATTGATCCGATTTTGTAGTTAAAACCAACTTTACTTCGAGATGATTACTGGCATAAATTATTTTATATTTTATAGGCAAAATTTAATAGAAATATCAGAAATTCAATTTCAATCTATTAAGGATCAAAAGATGGATTAAATGCAAAATAATATTGGTATAAAGTTAAAGAAGATCAAATTGATATTTAAATAACTTTAGATTATCATTACCACTTTTGTGAGGAATAAATAGGTGAGGAGCAAGAGAAACTTAGTCAAGTAATGTATAGATTCTATTAAAAAACAACTAATGATAATATTAATAACTTACATCCAACTATTATTATACTTCTTAAAAACAATTCTTCTACTCTATTCTTATATAAGCTTTATGTGTTAAAGTTCATTATTTTATTATTAACTATTATTATTTCTATTACAATAGTATTGATATTTAAAAATTATAAAATATCTCAAATTTTATTGATAAATAAAAGAATGAGGATTCTAAAGTAGAATTAATGAATATGATATGAAAGAAAGCACAGTCTTACCGAGATAGCAACTCTATTCTATATTATTATGGGAGAAATTCTTTAGACAGCAATTTTTACAGTAATTAACCATTAATTTGAGTAAAGCTGATAATTTTTATTTTATTTACAATAAATTTTCATAACTTTTCAGTCTTAACTTTCAATTTATCTGATGTATCTGAAATTTTCAATTGAATTTATGTTAATTTTAAATCTAGAATTCCTCTCAAAAGATTGTGTTTTTATTCTAGTCATCCTTAATATAAAATAGCATGCATTGTTTTGAGTCTAAAGCTGATCAATACGAATAATTATCAAAGAAATAATTTGAATTAAGAGCCTTATAAGAATCAGAAGGGAATTAACAACTATGACCATAAGAGTTAAATTTTTTGGCATAATTAAAATCTCACAAAATAAAAAGTTAATAGGTGTTATATAAGTCATAAATGGTTAAATTGGTTGCCAAGATATAGATGGTAATTTCAGGAACATATGCCTTTAGCTATATGCGGAGTGCATTTTGAGTCTTGCTATTGGGTTTTACCATTTATTTAAAATTCTCTGATATAGATAAAATATTTATTTAATATGATTTATGAATGCTGAACTAAATAGTCAATATATACGTCACGATTAAAATTTCAAGCTAAATTTATGAACAATGAAGAAAATTTCTTTTCAAATTAAGTTATAGTTAACACTCTGATGAAAATTATTATTTGGAAAAATATAAAAATATAACTTTCTCATTGGGCTTCAAAGGAATTACAATAGATAAAAATGTAATTATTCCATCTTACGATCTGAAAGTCTAACTTTAATGGATGACCTTAAAACCTATATATTTCAGCTTGGTATTAGATGATAGAAAAGGTATAAGGAATGAGCTATTTCATTTAAACACTAGGCTTCAAATGTACAAATAGAAAAGTGTTAGACATTTCCTGGTTAGGATGTGAATGGATGGGATCTTAACAAATATCAAGAATTTAAAGAAATGGTTTATCTTTTAGCATAGTGAAAAATCCTTATTGGAGTTCATAAAATCAATGTTCTAAATCAATAAATAAATAATATTGAATTATTTATTATTTGAGCTTTAAAATGTCAGATGGAACTCTTCCAGTAAATTTACTTTTTATAATTTCTGAGAAGGATTTAAAGTATTTTTCAGAATTCATTCAAGGTCATATAATTATGAGGTTATATGATGGAATTAGCTTAATATTAGAGAGCTAGGCTAAAGTGTAACGAAGCTCAACAGAATCATCATAACTAATTTTTAAGGAATAAGTACTTTATTATAAACTCTAGATATGCAACTTCAATTAATCTTCTCTCAATTTTGATTGAATAAAAGGTTTGATATTAGATCATGAAAATTGAAAAAAGGGATCTGTAATAGCTGTCATTAAGTCACTTCAAACGCATATCACTTCTAATGCAGGCAGCCAAACTACTTTAGTTTAGGCGTTCATATTGAATTACTATTCATCAATAATTAGTGTGCAGCATGCTTGAGATAAATAAACAAGCCAAGTCACTAATTAGAAGATTTTTTCCTAAAAAGTTGTTTTCAAGGATAAAGATTAATTAGAAACTCATTATGAAAAACGTTGTATTAAATCATCATAGCCTGCTTTCTGTTAAGAGAATAAAAACCAAAATAGTGTAATAATAATACATGCATGAGATTTCTTTTGAAAAAATTAAGAGGATTCAACACAATATAATATTAACCTAATCCAAATAAACACAAAAAAAAAAAAAAATATTAAAAATGTGAATCAGAATTTGAAGTATTGAGAAGACAATTTAATAAGAATTCAACAAAATATTTGAATCTAATTTATATTTTCTCTATGTGCTGTATCCAATTAAGGGCTTACTATATCTATTACAAACATTTTAGTGTTTTTCTATTATCTTTTAATAATACCTAGTATGTTTTTTGGTTATATATCATCATATAAATTCTTAGATTCTCAAATTGCAAATTATTGCTATAAAATTTCACACATTTATTAAGTTTCTATTTTGGTTAGGATATTTTCCATACCCTACTGGCATTCGTCATAGTCTTAAATTCTGCAAAAACTTAGATGGTTCATTAGAAAAGAATCAATATGAACATATAGCAAGTAAGTATATCTGAATTTGATCATGCGAATTAGCATGTGGTTTCCTTACTGAGCTGAATTCCTGGGAAACCATGAGGTATAATTAGAAATGATGTCTTTAGGATAAAGTGTATAGGCCATAGTCTAGAGAGAATGGTTCAAGGATATAACCCAAAGTCTAGCAAAAGCATGGTGAAAAACAAATGTGGAGTAGGCTCTTGTAAAGTTGTGAGGCATATATATACTAACCTAATTATATGAAAATATACTTAGACAAACATAAGTTACATTTTAGAAATAAAAAGGAATCATAAAACTTATTATCACTATTTGGAAAGCATTCAGACTTGTATTTGATTTATATTTAACCCAAAGTCTTAACATTGTCTTAATTTTTAGTTTCTTATGATATATTATTTCATCTTATTTTTATTTTTAATGTTCTTAAGAATCTCCTTCGAGTCTATTAGCCATTCTTTCTGTCTATACTAAAAGAATAATCTTTCTTAGTAATCAAGATCATTAATTTTTTGGTTATTTTGATTGCAATATAGACTGTCTTCTTTTATTTAACAATTAAACTAAACTATTTTAAATTTAAAGAAAAAAAGTGAACCAAATTGTAAAATCTATTCATTTGATTGTACAATTAGTTTATTATGACCTAGCATATATATTATACTTGACTACATTTATTACATTAAGAAGTGGTGCGTTTATTAAAATTAACATCCATGAAATGCATGTTAACTACGATGAGGATAAGAAGAAGATTCACAAAACTAAATAATTGCAGAGGAAGAAGTATAAAATTCATGTAGTAATTCAGTGCTCTATTCATTTCATTTTATACAAAATAAATAACTAATTTTGACAAATCACATTATGCCTTCGTTTATAGCATATACATATAATGTAACTAGATCATTAAAGTCACTTTGATAAGAAAGTTAACCATTCTTTTGGAGATTAAATATATTTATGTTTATTATTATTATTATCAGTAAGGCAATTATCCTAAAAAGTTTGCCAATAATTGCTAAAGATAGGACAAGGATAGGTGTAGATACTATCAAGCAAATTCAGCAATAAAAGTATGAATTTTTTCTTAAGAACATCATGAACAGAATTTACATAACAACATTCACAAGCATTGCCTTATGAAGCAACAAAAAAACTCATGAATAAGCATAGAGTTTTGCCTTTAACGAATGTCATAGCATTTTGAGTGAATATCACAAAACATGGGTAAAAGCCACTAAATATATAAGTGCAAGATTGGTAAAAAGACGCCAACTATAATCACAAGAGTTAAAAGAATTATTAAAAAAGGACATCATCTTGTAAAATTTACATTTGGTAAATACGATATAGTGTCTAAGCTGCAGTTAATAAAAGGAAAACTGATGCGTTTATAATAACTTTTAAGTCCTTCTTTCTAGAAGATTCAAGTATTACAGCATAAGATGGAGTGCATGATCCAGCTATTCCTGAATCTAAGAATTTACATGGAGTAGAGCAATATTGCCAGATAGAAATTAAATATCAGGTTATGGATGATTAAAGAGAATATCTACTTTCACAGTTTAAGACATAAGATGTTATCATACAAAATGCTTGCAGTATTTGTTTATAAACTTCATTTAATTATGATATGTTTAAGGTAAAACGCGAGGTAAACTAGGCTGCATATAATTAATAAAGTGCAAGTTAAATAATCACAAATACATAGATGTGGAAGTGGAAATATCCATTGATAAACTTCTTACTTTTGTTTACTTCAGTCTTACTTTAAAAATGGAGGTTTACATAGCCAGAGTAGATATTTAACACAGATGGAAAGAAGTAGCCACTAAAAGCATATGCAGTAGGATCAGATTTATAAGAATTATAAGAGCCAACACATTTAATAGTTTGAGAGAAGCGATTGTATTAAAACGATACATTAAATTGTTGCTCTATATCCATTAGTTAACATAACTTTTACCAGACGAGCATAAAATTAACAGAAGCAAAAGGATTTGGAAGTGACATATAAAATGCACGGCTATATGATTGAGCAGCCGGCATAGATTCAGAAAAGTTTTTATGTGTTATGGAGATCTACAAGTTTGGTAGTGGCCGATATTATGATGTAGCATATTGTTTCCAGTTTCGATTGCAACATGTATTAGCCCAAATGGAGAGAAATTTTGACTCCAACTGAGTCTTCCTTTTGTATCAGAAATGTCTAAGATACCAGATTATCGACTTGCTATTAA